TGCTGAAGAAGGGCTGTACTTCTTGGCCGTTTATCATCTTTGGAGAAATGTCTATTAAAGTCATTTGCCTTTTTTTTTTTTTTTTTTTTTTTTTTTTGAGACAGAGTCTCACGCTGTCACCCAGGCTGGAGTTCAGTGGCATGATTACAGTTCACTGCAGCCTTGAATTCCTGGGTTCAAGTGATCCTCCCACCTTAGCCTCCTGAGAAGCTGGGACTGTAGGTGCATGCCACCACGTCCAGCTAATATTTGTATTGTTTGTAGAGACAAGTTCTGTGTTGCCCAAGCTGATCTCGAATTCCTGGGCTTAAGCAATCCTTTAGTCTCAGCCTACCAATGTTGGGATTACAGGCATGAGCCTGTAAAAACACCTGGTCTGTTTTTGGTTTTTGTTTGTTTTGTTTATTTTCATTTTGAGAAAGGTGCTTGCTGTGTTGCCCAGGCTGACCTTGAACTCCTGGGCTCAAGTGATCCTCCTACTTCAGCCTCCCAAGTAGCTGGGACTACAGTCATTCACCAGCCGTTGCACCCAGTCTTTTGCCTATTTTTAAATTGGATTCCTTGTTTTTTTTATTATTGAGTTGTAGAAGTTCTTTATATATCTGGATATTAACCCCTTATCACGTATATATTTGCAAATACTGTTTTCTTCCATTCTGTAGGTTCCCTTTCCTTCTCTATTGATTGATTGTTTTGCTGCACAAAAGTTTTAAAATTTGATGTCCCATTTGTGTTTGCTTTTATTCCTATTGTGTTTGCTTTTATTGCTTGTGCTTTCTATGTCGTATACAAGAAATCATTGATAAATTCAGTGTTGTGAAGCCTTTTCCCACTGTGTTTTCCTCCAGTAGCTTTGTGGTTTCAAGTCTAGTCAGTTTATGATTTCAGGGCTACACTGAGGTCTTTAATCCATTTTAAGTTAATTTTTGTATATAGAGTAAAGTAAGGGTCCAACTTCTTTCTTTTGTACATGATATTTTTATGTAGTGTTTTTTATCACTAGCAGTTTTATGTGTTTGATATTTTAGCTACTTTTCAGTGTTTTTCTTTTCATATTTTCTTTTCTTTTCTTTCTTTCTTTTTTTTTTTTTTTTCTTTTTTTTTTTTTTTGAGACGGAGTCTCTCTTTGTAGCCTAAGCTGGAGTGAAATGGTGCAATCTCAGCTCACTGTAACCTCTGCCTCTGGGTCCCATTTCAAGCAATTCTTCTGCCTCAGCCTCTTGAATAGCTGGGATTACAGGCACATGTCACCATGCCCAGCTAATTTTTGTATTTTTAGTAGAGATGGGGTTTCACCATGTTTGCCAGGCTGATTTTGAACTCATGACCTTGTGATCCACCTGCCTCGGGCTCCCAAAGCGCTGAGATTACAGACATGAGCCACTGTATCTGGCCTATTCTTCAGTTTTTAAAAATTCTTTAGGATTTTGTTGTTGTTGTTACTGTTGGCATGGTGTATCTTCTTTCCATCCAATTACTTTAGCCTATTTGTATCTTTATACTTAAAGTAGGTTTTTTTCTTGTATGCAGTTGATAGTTGGGTTTTTTTTTTTAATCCAATCTGAAAATTTCTCTTTTTAAAAAAGTCTCTATTTGAGACCATTGTAGATTCACTTGGCAATGGTAAGAAATAATAGATCTTATGTATCCTTCACCCACTTTCCCTCAATGATAACATGTTGCGTAACTTTTGTACTAGGAAATTGACTTTGATACATTCTGTCTATGCTATTCAAATTTCACCTGTTTTACATGCATTCATTTGTGTGTGTGTATGCTGTCACATGTAGATTCAAATGATCACTACTACAGACAAGATACAGCACAGTTCCATCACAAGTATATTTGTGCTACTCATTTATAGCCACAGCTACTCCTCCCCTCTCATCCTTCCCTGACCTCTTGCAAACAATAATCTGTTCTTTACCTCTGTAATTTTGTTACTTGAGAATGTTATGTAGATCAATCATACTATACAGATTTTTTAAATTTAGCATTATTTGAGATCTATCCAGGTTGTACATGCTTCCATAGTTTGTCCGTATTGCTGAGTAGTATTCCTGAGTCTCTACCTTTAATTGGAAATGGTTAGTTCATTTATATTAATGTGATTATTGATATTGTTGAGTTTAAATCAACCATCTTACTCAAGGATCAGCAAACGTTGAGCTTGGGGATTAAATCACACTTACCAAGTGTTTTTTTACTTTTTAAATTTTAATTTAATTTAATTTTTTGATACAGAGTCTCACTCTGTTGCCAGGCTAGAGTGCAGTAGCGCGATCTCTGCTCACTACAACCTCTGCCTCCCAGGTTCACGTGATTCTCATGCCTCAGCCTCCCAGGCAGCTGGGGTTACAAGCATGCACCACCATGCCTGGCTATTTTTTGTGTTTTTAGTAGAGACGAGTTTTGCCACGTTGGCCAGGGTGGTCTTGAACTCCTAACCTCAAGTGATCCACCCACCCTGGCCTCCCAAAATGCTGGGATTACAGGCGTGAGCCACCTTGCCTGGCCACCAAGTGTTTTTCTTTTTATAATTAAAGTTTTATTGAAACATGGCTATGTTTATTTATTTACTATTGTCTATGGCTGCTTCTGTGTTACAACAATACAGTTCGGTAGTTGTGATAGAGACTATGGCTCACAAAGCCAAAAACATCTATTCTGTGGCCCTCGACAGAAAAATTTTTTAAGTCCTGATTATGCTATTTGTTTTCCATTTGTCCCATTTGTTCTTTGTTGATTTTGCAGCAGGAATGTGAATTTAAAAGAGCTATTACAGTGGTTGGTGCCTGTTAGAATATCTATAGAAACTTTCCTCAAACAAAATTTTAGACCTGACAGAAGGTGTCTGTATTTGTTTTTTGTTGTATGTAACAAATTACCACAATTTAGTGGCTTAAAATAACATGCATTTATTATCTCACAATTTCTGTTCATCAGGAGTCTGGGCACAGCATAGTTGGGTCCTTTGCTTAGAATCTCATAAGGCTGCAATCAAGCCGTTGGCCAGGCTGTATTATGTAGATGCTCAATTATGGAGAAATCTGTTTCCATACTCATTCAGGTCATTGGCAGAATTTATTTCCTTGCAGCTGTGTGACTGAGGGTCTGGCTTTTTACTGATTGTCAGGTGAAATCCTCTCTCAGGTCCTAGGGGTTGTCCGTAGTTTCCTGCTACATGACTCTCTCCTTTCAAGGCCTGCAGGAGAGCTTCTTACTCCAGTCTGCTCACACAGTATTCTGTAATGCAACATAATCAAGAGAGTGACATCTCATCACTTTCGCACATTCTGTCAAGTAGAAGCAAGTCACAGGTTCTTCCTGCATGCAAGAGGATTATATGAAGACATGACTCATTAAGGATCACTGTCATGTATGTTTACCACAGAAACCAAAAGAAGGCATTAATAACTGTATAATCTTACAATGACCATTTTGATCCCTTTCAAAAGCTAGAAATGATGATATTAACAATAAAGAACCTAATATAGCTAAAGTTCTGGTTAAGATATTTACAGTTTTCTGAAACTACATAATAAGCAGAGTTTTCCAATCGAATACCAGTATTTTAAACAAGCACTTGTAAATTCATTATTGTATTTGATGTAAATCTCGGGATAGTGCCATGAGATGGATACGTATTCCTGTTTATAGATGAAGAAACTGAGAATTAGTAAAGTCTTAAAAAAATATTACATAGCCAGTAAGTGATGGAATAGGTGTTTTATTAATAACTTAAAATTCTTTGTTCCTGCCACCAAAGTAGAATTGTAGCATAGATCTATTGATAGTGTGGATATTCATCAAATATGCTTTGATGATGAGGAAAGTTTGATTTTATGTATAAATACTAATAAGTTCTATGTGAAAATGGAAATAAAATGAGATCTTTGCAAGAGTGTAGCATTTCCTATGTGTGGCAGTACAATATTTCTAATCCTCAAAATAGTTCTGTAAGTTTTATCTCTGTTTCACAGGAGAGTCTGAGGTCTAGGCAGGTTGTCATTTGCTCAAGCTCATACAGTTGGTATGTGGTAGAATCATGATCTGACTTCAGAATCTAGGATGAACCTAATTCAATCGAAATATCTTTTTGTTTTGGCCTTGCATTACTAAATCATATAGCTGGAAGGCAGCTATATTAGTGTTTTACTGTATATCTCTATTCCAGTAATTTCATCTCTACTTAATTGTTATCATCTGTTAAGTAGGATTGTTTAGCTATATTGATAGTAAAATACAGTCTACTTAGCCTAGGATGAAAAAGTCTTTAGTGAACTTTGCCTATCATCTATAGCAGGTGTCCCCAAACTACGGCCATGCGGCCCTCTGAGGCCATTTATCCGGCCCCCCCGCCGCACTTCAGGAAGGGGCACCTCTTTCATTGGTGGTCAGTGAGAGGAGCACAGTATGTGGTGGCCCTCCAACGGTCTGAGGGACAGCAAACTGGCCCCCTGTGTAAAAAGTTTGAGGACGCCTGATCTACAGGATCATGTTGTTCTGCTAAAAAAAACAAAAACAAAAACAAAAAGCAGTTAAGCCTCAAAATTTAACATTTTTAGTTCATGGCTACATGAGGTGGCTCAAGCCTATAATCCCAGCACCTTGGGAGGCTGAGGTGGGCAGATTGCATGAGCCTAGGAGTTTAAGACCAGCCTGGGCAACATGGAGAAACCCCATCTTTAAAATAAACATTTTTTAAATAGAAAAATTTTAGTTCACAGCCTTTCTATTTGAAGATACCATATTTCACATCTCAAAAGTCATGTGCTCAACAGTCGATTGTTGTTGGATTTTAAAGGAGTGCCTTTATTGATATAAAATAATTAGCAGAAGTGAATTATGTGACATTTAGCATAAAAACAAAGTTTTTTGTTTTATAAATGATTGATATAGTTATTTTGCATGTATAGTACTAACAAATTATAGTTATTGACAATAATTTTTTCCTTTTGGTTTGTCTCTGTGTTTTATTGTTGATTTTTCAATCACAGCAAACTATACAATGACAGTTGAGTGGGTTTTGAAAAACATCTGAAGCGTGGTGGCTACATCTACCTTCTGCCTTCTCCCTACCCTTTGAAAAAGAATAAATGGAATGTTTGAGAAGAGAGCTATATTAAAAGAGGAATATTGCAAATGGCTTCAGATTCTGTGAATGGAAGACAAGCTAGGAATCACATTACAAAGGGGAAAAGGCAACAACAGCATCAGCAAATAAAGAACAGATCCTCAGTTAGTGATGGTGATGGAGAAGATTCCTTTACTTTTGAAGCAAATGAAGCTTGGAAAGATTTTCATAGTTCTCTTCTTCGATTTTATGAGAATGGAGAACTCTGCGATGTCACACTAAAGGTGAGCTTACCTTTTTTCTACCTTTCTTAGCCTCTTCAGTGTACTGTGAAAAATGGGGGTTTCTGTAACCACACAAGGCAAATTTTGTTGGTATACATATTTAATAGAGTCAGAATGCTTTTAGTCTCAATCTTTTTTTAGTGTAGGAGACAGGACATAGAGGGTAAATGAAGAGAAGTTAGCATAAGGTAAAATTATTGTACTAATTTAATGTTGATACTAATTATTTCATAGTTAACTTCTCAGAGTTCTGAAACCTAGAACAACAACAAATATTATTAGTGAAATTAATAAATTTCTGTTGACCAGATAAACTTTTCACTTGTGTTTAAATATCTTGATGTATTTGCTGACTCTGAATATAGGTTAGAAGTCAGGAATTTGGATTGTTTACTCAGCTATACTACTGTTTTACGGTATATCTCTATTCCAGTAATTTAATCTTTACTTCATTGTTATCATCTGTTGAGTGGGACTGTTTATCTACACCTGATAGTGAAATACAGTCTACTTAGCCTTGTATGAAAAAGTCTACAGTGACCTTTGCCCATCATCTATAGGATCATGTTGTTCTAACAGCCAGTTTTAATAAAATTAGAAAAGTGATAAAGCAGTGTGGAAAAGCCTATGTTCTGATTGTTTCTCATTACATATTTAAAGTACTTTCTTCTTATCTCTCAGTGAAGTATTAAAATTTTTTGGTGGATTCCTGGGCTTAAGCAATCCTCCTGACACGGTGGCCTGAGCAGCTAGGGACTAGATGCATGTATCACCATGCCTAACTAATTAAAAAAAAATTTTATAGAGATAGGATCTTGCTATATTGCCCCGGCTGGTCTCAAACTTGGGTGCAAACAATCCTACTGCCTTGGACCTCCCAAAAAACTGGGATTATAAGTGTGAGCCACTGTGCTAATGATAGAAAATTATTTCTCATAGTTCTGAATGTTGGGAAGTCTAAAATCAAGGTGCCAGCAAGCTTGGTGTCTGGTTAGGGCTGCCCTCTCAGCTTCCAAGATGGTACCTTGTTGCTGCATCCTTCAGAGGGGATAAACATTATGTCCTCACGTGGAAGGCAGATAGGCAAAATGGGTCTAAGCTAGTTACCTCCAGTTCTCTCTTAAGGCACTAATCCATTCATGAGCAGAGCCCTTATGATTTCATCATTTCCCCAAGGCTCCCCCTCTTAATATTAGCACAGTGGGGATTAAGTTTCAATACAGTTATTTTGGAGGGCATTTAGAAGATAGCACAGACATAATCTAATAGAAGAGAAAAATAATAATGGAGAAAGTGATCTATATTTAATAGTTAAGCCTTCTATATTAAGAAATTTTAAGACTCTGTGTTTAAGGAAGATCACCTTTCCTTCATTCAGCTAGTAAATCAGTATTTTAACTTTTTCATGTTTCTCAGGGGGTACAATCATGTGCCACATAAGGACATTTTGGTCAACGATGGACTCCATATACAATGGTGGTCCCATAAGATTATAATGGAGCCAAAAAATTCCTATCACTTAGTGATGTAGCTCATAATGTTCTAGTACAATGCATTACTCACATGCCTGTGGTGATGCTGGTGTAAACAAACTTACCACATTGCTAGTTGTATAAAAGGTGTAGCACATAGTTATGTACAGTGCCTAATACTTATTCATGCTAATAAATGATTATGTTACAGGTTTATGTATTTACTGTACTTTTTATTGTTTTTATTAGCCTGTACTCCTTCTAAAGAAAAAAAGATTAAAAAAAAAAATTGCAGAAAATTGATTCTTAAATAAACCAAGGAAAGAAAAAAACATTATAAAACAGCCTTAGGCAGGTCCTTCAGAAGGTATTCAAGAGGAGGGCATTGTTATTATAGGAGATGACAGCTTCATGTGTGTTATTACTCCCGAAGACCTTTCAATGGGACAGGAATCTGGAGGCAGTAGACAGTGATATGTATGATCCTGACTTGGTATAGATGCAGGCTAATGTCTGAGTTTGTGTCTTAGTTTTTAACAAAAAGTTTTAAAAATAAAAGAAAAAATTTTAATAGAAAAAGTCTTTTGGAATAAGCATATACAAACATTTTTGTAGAGCTGTGCAATGTGTGTATTTTAGGCTGTTATTACAAAAGAGTCAAAATGTTCTTTAAAAATTTAAAAGTTTATGGAAAACGTCACAGTAAGCTAAGGTTAATTATAAATTTTTTTTTTTAATTTAGGGTAGGCTAAGTGTACAGTGTTTATAAAGTCTACAGTAGTGTACAATAAAGTCCTAGGCTTTCCCCTTCACTCACCACTCAGTAATTCACCCAGAGCAACCTCTGGCCCTGCAATCCCATTCATGGCAAATGCCTCATACAAATGTACATTCAGAAAAAAATCTTGTATACCGTATTTTTACTGTACCTTTCCTATGTTTATTTGTTTAGATACGCAGATAGTTACCATCGTGTTATAGTTGCCTACAGTGTGCAGTACAGTAACACACCATGCAGGTTCGTAGCCTGGGAGCAGGCCATATCTAGGCTTTTGCCTTAGATATATCTAGGCAGATATCTAGATTTGTGTGAGTACATTCTGAGACATTTGCAGTGATAAAATCACCTAATACGTTTCTCAGAACGTATCCTGATCCTTCAGCAACACATGACCATATTAGAGCTGCTTATTGCAACCTATGTGTGTAGTATAACCTAGGCTATATGTTGTAGCCTGTTGTTCCTGGGATACAAATCTCCATAGCCTATTACCATACTGAAAATTTTAGGCAGTTGTAACACAGTAGTGTTTGTCTATCTAAACATATCTAAACAGAAAAGGTACAGTAAAAAGTAGGCAAAGGATATGAACAGACACTTCTCAAAAGAAGACCTACAGGTGGCCAACAAATATATGAAAAAATACTGATCATCACCAGTCATTAGAGGAATGCAAACCAGAACCACAAAGAGATACCATCTCACATCAGTCAGAATGAACTTTTATTAATAAGTCAAAAAATAACAGATGTTGGCCAGGCTGTGGAGAGAAGGAAACACTTACACACTGTTGGTGGGAATGTAAATTAGTTCAGCCACTGAGGAGAGCAGTTTGGATACTTCTCAAAGAACGGAGAGCTGAATTACCATTCAACCCAGCAATCCTCCTAGTTGGTATATACCCAGAGGAAAATAAATCATTCTATCAAAAAGACACATAGTATGTTCGTTGCAGTGCTATTCACAAATAACAAAGATGTGGAATCAGCCCAGGTGCCCATCAGTGGTGGATTGGATAAGGAAAATGTGCCATATATACACTACAGAATAATATACAGCCATAAAAAAGAATGAAATCACATCCTTTGCAGCAACATGCATGCAGCTGGAAACCATTATCCTATGTGAACTAATGAAACAAAACCAAATACCACATTTTCTCACTTATAAGTGGGAACTAAACATTGAGTAAACATGGTCATGAAAATGGGAAAAATAGTGGGGTATACAAGATGAGGGAGGGAGGGAAGGCGGTGGGAGTATGACTTGAAATAAACTGTTTGTTTTATGTTGTATATTACACTCACTACCTGGGTTATAGATTCATTCATACTCCAAACCTCAGCATGACACCTGTATATCCATGTAACAGCCTTATACATGTACTCCTAATTCTAAAATAAAAGTTGAAAAAAGCAAAAAAAATATATTTACAATAAAAGAAAAATATAAAATTAAAATTAAAAGTATAAGAATGAAGGAATAGTAAATTTTTTTTTGCTGTATAAGAGGAAAGGACAGATTATAGGCTTATTTTATTATTTTGAGACAGGTCTTGCTCTGGAGTACAGTGATGTGATCATGGATCACTGTAGCCTCCACCTCCTGGACCCAAGACCCCACCCCACCCCCTGAGTAGCTGAGACTATAGGTGCATGCCACCACATGCAGTTAATTTTTATATTGTTTGTAGAGAGGGGTTTGGCCATGTGAGCCAGGCTGGTCTTGAACTCCTGGACTCAAGCTATCTCTCTGCCGCCTCAGTCTCCAAACTGCTGGGATTACAGGCATGAGCCACCATGCCTGGCCTTTAGTAATTTAAAAAATGTTTACCTTTACATACTAACTTTTAAGAAGTACAATGTTATTTTTATATTGTATATACACTCTTTACTATTCTTTTTTTTTTCTGAGTTGGAGTTTCACTCTTGTTGCCCAGGCTGGAGTACAATGGCACACTCTTGGCCCACCGCAATCTCCATTTCCCAGGTTCAAGTGATTCTCCTGCCTCGGTCTCTCAAGTAGCTGGAATTACAGGCATGCATCACCACGCCTGGCTAATTTTGTATTTTTAGTAGAGACAGGGTTTCTCCATGTTGGTCAGGCTTGTCTCGAACTCACAACCTCAGGTGATCCATCCACCTTGGCCTCCCAAAGTGCTGGGATTACAGGCATAAGCCACCGTGCCTGGCCTCACTATTCATTTTAAATACAAAGCAGATCTTGAGATATATCAATACCTAAGCTGTCTTTTAAAGGTGAAGAAGTTGTTATTTATAAAGGTTTACATTGTGATTTCACTATTTTCATGATTATGACTAAATATGATTTGTTATAACTTATGATCACAAGTTGGACATATATCTGTACCTCATTCAAATTGCATTTAGACCTTGGCCGGGCGCGGTGGCTCACGCCTGTAATCCCAGCACTTTGGGAGGCCGAGGCGGGTGGATCACGAGGTCAAGAGATCGAGACCACCCTGGTCAACATGGTGAAACCCCGTCTCTACTAAAAATACAAAAAATTAGCTGGGCATGGTGGCGCATGCCTGTAATCCCAGCTACTCAGGAGGCTGAGGCAGGAGAATTGCCTGAACCCAGGAGGCGGAGGTTGCGGTGAGCCGAGATTGCGCCATTGCACTCCAGCCTGGGTAACAAGAGTGAAACTCTGTCTCAAAAAAAAAAAAAAAAAAAAAAAATAGACCTTAAAAAAAAAAAAAGGCCACAGATAGCTGCCCTGCACCT